AAATGTGTGTAGTTTTTATGCTCAGGAAGAGTTAAAAACAATTTTAGAAACACATCCATGATTTTATAAAAATCTGGACTTATTACCGAAAAAATTTGGTTCTTTCCCCAGGAGACCTCCCCCCGCGAGATCCTAAAGAAGCGTAGTTTTTTTAACGTTAAGAGGCCCTAAAACTTTGAAATTTTTGACCATATTGGTACATTTTGTGCAAAAATCAACTCTTTTATATATCAATTCAATATTAAGATCAATTTTAATAATTTTAATACTTTTTATACTTAAAAACTGTGGAAAAAGCTATAGCACCACCCCCGCTAACAGCCCAGAATAAACATTCCTACCTGATAAAATAGGTCATCTTTTGTGGTAACATCGTGCGGAAGTACTCGATCGTTCGACATTACAATCACCACGGAGAGGACTCCATCCTAGGCAAGATCTTGAAATAGATTTAATAAACTTACCACTTCTAGCGCATTACACCACGTATTATGGGCCGGCCGCGGGATGAAGATCGAGTAGGAGCGCGCCTTCTTGACGAACACTCTGCATTGCGAGAAGCGCTCGGCGGCGTAAACAGCACCCGTGTAATCCTCAAATTACCGTTGTTTCGAAAAATTCTTCAAATTAATATCATCAAATTAGAGCTAACCTGCCCTTTTCCGTTGACTTGAAACGTGACGTTCACCCCGTTCTCGTAGCACTCGGCGCGGGTTGCGACGGCCGACGGCGAGACGTGGCCGACGTTTTCGGTGAGCGGAATAACCTAAGAAATTTTGGAATTTTGATAAAAAGCAAAATAGCGTTAGGGTTGCGATTTTAATAAAGAAAAAAGCCTAAAAACTTGACCCAAAACGCTGTTCTGACCCGTGGCATGCCATTCTCCTCCAATTCAAGCTCCTCAGGGTCAGGAGTTTCGCTGGGCAGGGCGCTAGGTTTTCTTCTAAAAAATTGGAGCCTATGCTCACGCAAATACCTTGGTGGTGGCTTCTCGTCTGGCTGTTGAAAGTCGGAAGAATTCGGATCGACCTCAAGCTGGAAATTCGTGGTCACCTAAAAGCATTTGGTAAAAACCTAAAGTACAGCGATCACCCACCTGATTTTCGCTGAGCTTGTCGTTGGGCAGCACCACGGTATTCGCTTCAACGTCCAGAATACTTGGCCGGTGTATGCGTGCCTTTTCTTGCAAAAAGTTGTGCCCCTGGAAGATGCGAGGGCGATGCTGTTGGATGTTTGTTTCCGCTTCAGGTTCCGGGGTCAGGAGACGTGGAGGGGCATCGAGGGCTGTCTAAAAACGTGGGATTTGGAGCAGATAAGATTTGCCCACCACCGGATCGCGACTGGTCGGTGTCGTCTCGGCGGTGACTTCTGTGCCAAGTGTTGGAAAGTCGGGATCTGAAGGAGGATACAATGGTTTGATTGTGATTTCGGAAGAAATAACAAATCGCACCGTTCCTAGGATCACCTGTAGCCTTGGAAAAAGTGCTGGAGGCGAAAATGTCAGTGGTTGTCGTGGGAAAAGCAAAGATATCTTCTTGCAATCCACCGTCGAGGGTTGCCGGAGACTCGTTCGAACTACTTGACTCAATCGCCTAATCAATATTTTTTCCTTTTGTTGAGAGAAATTACCAACCTTGCCAGTGTCGAAAATCTTTTGCAGGTGGCTTGCCGGAGCGGTTTGTTCGACAAACTTCGGCAGCGGCGTCGTGCTCAGCACGTCCAATGATATTTGAACGCGTGGGCTCTCTGAAAAGGGGGTGCCGAAGTTAAAGCGATCCCACCTGTTTCCAACTTCATCCTCGCAAAAACATCAAAGTCGCGGTTGATTTGGAGACGCTGGTCGTCGGCTTTTTCAATTTGAATGGCTGATAGGTGACATTCGGAGATGGCCGCCGAGAAGGCGAAGGTGCGGCATCCAAAGACGGCCTAAAAAGTATTACATTTGAAAAATAAATGGTAAATTACACGGCTTGCAAGCCCTCAGTGGCACTTTTCCCATGTCGCAATGTGGACATGCTGCAGGTGGCGATGTTCATTTCTGAAATTCGGGCAATTCCTGCATACCTAACGCCTAGAAATGGGGGCGGTAGGGTAGGGATTTTTACCCAAAGTAAGTGGAGAAATGGGCACAAATATCAATGTATTTTAATAGTTTTTTGGATTTGTAAAATTTACCGTACCTCGCCGTATTTCAAGTAGAAAACAATAAATTAACATAGCCGAGTACAGCAAACTTACAAAAGACTCCTTTCGTTGGCCACTAGGATAGATCCACGCCCACGTGGGTCATCTTGCTGCCCCATATCGCAAGCCACCTCGTAGTAGTCGAAAGTTTCGTCGTACCTATTGGAATGCGGAAGCTGCGTCTTGATTTGAAGCTTTTACGCCCTTGCGCTTCGTAATAGAAAGTATTAAAAGTAAACTTTGTAAATTAATTAAATGCTACCTGTCCGCGTTCCCTGTACACGGCGCTCGATTTCCAGCATATGACAGTCTCGACGGCGCACCTGTAGTTGATCGCTCGACATTTTGGGTTGTCCACGCACGAGCTTAGGCACTTTTCGACACCAACACCTGAAAAATTTCCGATGTTACATGGCTGTAAAGTAGATCAAAATACTCGCCAAACTAAGGTATACATTTTGGGCATATTTACACCCCTGTAGGACCTCTGGGCGACGAGATACAAAAGTTGGAGGCTGGCGGGGGGGGGGGGTGAACTGCACTCCTACTTGCCTCCAAAAGCCGCAGCTCCTTGGTAAAAAAGGAGTCTGGTGGTGAGCAGCTTCTCAAAGGCGTACTGGCCGATTACAGGGCGTCATTGCGGCAGGGTCGGAGGGGGATAGCAGGGCATACCGGCTCGAAGAGGTCGAGCGTCGATGAGGGTACGGCCAGCTCAGAGGATTCTTCTAAAAATCAAATATTTCTGATTTGCGGATTAAAAACCCGAGATATAGCATTCGTTGGTTTTCGGGTTGTATTGTAATGAGCGGCAGTGGAAGGCGGTAGAGTCGATACATTCGCGCATACAGTCGCGAACGGAACGTGTACCTAGAAAAATTCGGGAACTTATTTATTACGCATTATATTTATTTATCCTCGAAAACGATGAAATTATTTATTATTATTTTTCTTAATATTGATTTATTTCCTTACCGGCCTGAATCCCAAATGAAGCTACATCTGCGTGTTGAGCCATGATAAAGTCGACACGTCCATTTTCGCATCGGCGACGTTCTAAAGGCAACGAGGTTCTGGTGCTTTAGCGGGGGGGGCTTGACATAAACAAAAACTACTTCCTTTGTTTTTGCTTAACCCATATTTCGTAAAAATAGACTTTTCTAGAGAGTTTTTAGTCGTTTTCTATTATAAAAAAGCGACAAAAAAATGGAGTAATAAATGGAGTTTTTGTGAAATTAACAAATCGTCAATATTTTTTTCCAAAAAGTTCCAAAAAGTTGTGAGAAATTACAGTATTTTTCATACTTCGACGGAAGTAGGAAAATTGATCCCCCGCTAACGAACCAGAACCAAGAACGATAAAAACAGAAAGAGCATTACCAGGTCGGCACGCGTTTTCATAATAGTCCACGCCCGGCGCTTCTTCCCCTTCGCTTTCTTGCCGAGTTTGGTTGTAGAAGCGACAGGTTCTGAATTTATTTAATTTCATAACAAACCTTGTGCTTACTTTGTGCTCGATTCAAAAGTTGCAGCTGGGCATGACTCATCGAGACATCGCTGCCGGCATTCGCCAACAGTCCGCACATCCGAAATCTTTAGCAAAAATTGGTGCTTGTGAGTTAGCGGAGGGGGGGGGGGTAGTGGTGAATCCCTTTATTCGAGCTAGCCTGCTTAACAAAAACTGTCTTTATTAGTTTTTAGTAGCTTCGCTTTTCTCAAAAAGGATTAAGAAACGTAAAAAAACTAAAAATGCGATTCTTGAGGAAAAGCCAAAGTCTTTCTAGCTAAAAATACTAAAAATTTATAGGCTCCTCCTAAAGCACCAGAAAAGTCCCCCCGCTAATAAACAAGCTCCAAAAACTCAAGAAGCTTTTTTCCACCTCAATAGCGATAGCCTTCAATCGAAAATCCCTTCTGACGTCGAAAATGAAAGCCCTCCCCTCGCAGACTTCCGGTAGCCTAAAGTGCTATGTTTTTTGCCATGCCGGAAACGATACTTGAAACACATTTTCTCGTAGTAGTAGGAAAAATCGCTTTTGCGCCAATGCCGCTCTTTGAAGCCTTTCTAAAATTGTGTTGTTTGGGACGAAAAGTAACGATACTTCATTCTTTTCCACGGGGAAGAATTCGCACATCGGGATCCGCCCACTAATGATGTTGATTCCCTAAAAACCATGTTTTGAGGACTATAGTATGATTAAAACTTAATTATACTTTTAATATAATCATACCTGACACGGGAAATGGTCTCGGGACAGTGGCGACACATTTATCCGGCAAGCTTCCAAGCAACGTGTTAATGGTTGCTAAAAATATTTTTTTTGGTAGTTGGGCCTTGCTCGCTTTGAATAGAGTGATGACAGTTTGAAAAAATAAACTTTCAAAAAAATGAAAATTTGACTAAAAAATAAAAATTTCGACAAAGTGGAATTTGGAAAATGATGTTTCAACAAAATTGAGGTTTTCATTCTAATTTTCCACAAAAGAAAAAACCATATAAAAAGATTTGCGCTTAGAACGTCGAAGTTGATCATGCCGCAATTTCAAAAAGTTTTTAGAAAGGAAGAAAAAGCTAGATTTTATGGAAAATTCGGCATTCTAAGATGTCGGCATTATGACATTTCGGCATTGCCAAAGCGCAGCCTACCATCGCAGCCAGCCGCGGCTTCTGGTCGACCAAACTCGAGATTCGCTGGTAGCCAGCCCGAAAGTCGCCGAAACACTCGCCATGTGGTGACAAAACGCCGCGAGGAAAGGCATCTGGCTCAAAATCTAACAAAATAATAAGAATTGTAACAAATAATCATTTAGCCACCTACCTGTCTGCCTGATTAGACGTGTAGAATCCTGGTGTGACGACTTAGCGGAAAGGAGGTCGATCACGGCTACCCCTGTAAAAAACTCAGTACTGGACTTTTAGCGGAGGGGGGTAATTTTCGCTTGTCGATCCGTGGGAACCCAATAAAAATACACACCATTTATGCAGTGTTTCACACGGTTTAAGTCCGTAAAATTCCTAAATTTTGTGATTTTTGAGCAAAATCGTATGAAAATGAGCAAAAATCTAAACGGTTCCTCATTTTAAAAATATCAGGTTGGAACGAAAGTTCTGTCGCCGAGATTTTGGGAGGCTGACTAAATTCGTAGATAGCTCCATTCTGCACATGCGATATGTCATTTTGTAGCTCTCCGCCTGAATGGTTCCGGGAGGAGGGTCCTGGGGCCTCAAAATCAAGAACGGCCGAAATACAGGCCTAAGAAGTTTTTTCAAAAATTACGCAAAAGCGTTTTTGCAAGTTATCTCTGCATGGAGCCATTTGCATGCGATACCATTAACGCCAATCGATAGCTCTCGAGGAGTAGATATCCATAGATGTTGAGATCATCAAAATTGGACATTGGATGGCCGAGATAAGGCCCCTTGAAGTTTGGCCCATTCCTGAGAACTTTTCCCGATTTCCCATACATCCCGATACATTTCGCAGGCAGAGGCCGAAAATCGCCGCTTTATTTTTGGATGCGCAGGGTGAATTTTGACAAAATGTATGGGAAATCGGGAAAAGTTCTAAGGAATGGACCAAACTTCAAGGGGCCATATCTCGGCCATCCAATGTCCAATTTTGATGATCTCAACATCTATCGATATCTACTCCTCGAGAGCTATCGATTGGCTTTAAAGGTATCGCATGCAAATTGCTCTATGCAGAGATAACTTGCAAAAACACTTTTGCGTGATTTTGTCAAAAACTTCTTGGCCCTCTATCTCGGCGCTCGTTGGTTTTGGCGGTCAGCGACGCCCTTCCCGAAACGATTTAGGCCGGGAGCTACAAAATGACATATTGCATGTCCAGAATGAGGACTATCCGATTTTGCCAGCCTCCCAAAAATCGACGACAGAACTTCGTTCCAATCCTGATCTTCCCGTTTGAAGCATCCAAAATCTACCAAAAATACCTTTTCCGACGCTATTCCCGAAAACCAAAATGCCGACATGGCAAAATACCGACGAAAAAAACCGATGACGAAAATATCGATAATCATTAACCCGACAAAGAAAAAATCGACAATTATTATCACGATGCCCGAAATACCGACAGTCATAGTCGCTAGAGTCAAAACACCGACATGCAAAAATACCGACATGCCAAAATCTCATTAGCATAATCCCGACAGTCAAAAAATCACGACAGCCTAGTGTTGGAATTTTTGCTGTCGGGATTTTGGCTTAAGGGATATTGGCTAGAATCTCACCCCCGCTAACAGATCAGTGCCAAATCTGGTGCAACCAACCGGTCAGCAGCCATATCATCGTTGTACCAGCCGCCAGCTTGGAATTGATCGCGGCAGATCCGTACGGCTAGAAGAAGAAGAAGGAGATGGGCGTATTGAAGGTGGGGGGTATTGGGCGAGCAGCGATTGGCAACGGCAGGCTCCCCCTCGTGCTCCTTCACATCAAAGCCCCGTCCACTCGAAGATGGGATCGTGACAATGGCCCCAGGCAGTGTAACCACTGTCAGCACCCTGATCGTGATGGTGATGAACAATTCTGGAATTGGGAACGGTGTTGCCGGGGCAGTGCATTTGCGGGAACGTCGAAACGAGAAGCGGGCATTCAGGAAGTTTGCTTTTTACAAAAAATTGCTTTTTAGAGACAGTTTGGTTTTTCAACAAAGTTTGCTTTAAAGTTGCTGAAAAATCGTGCATATGAGTAAGGAATGGAAAGCGAGGAATTTCTGAAAGGATTTGCTATCAGCATGCCGAAATTGGTTTTCTCGAAATTTATTTGTCGAAAATCCGTTTGTCGCGATTTCCTAGGTTTAAGCGTTAGGAAATTTCGAACCCCAGTGATAATACCGACACTTGAAAATCCGTTAGGCCAAATCCCGACAGGCCGAAATTCCGACAGCCAGAATGTCGACAGCCAAAAAGGCCGACACCAATCCAATTTTGTGCCCAAAAAAGGTTTTAGAGCTCCCTCTAGGATACCCGGCACCATCCCGCTCGGCAAACCGGAAAGAAACCTTTTGGAAACGCTTTACAAGAGGCGAAACATCTTTCGACGAATATCTTGCTAGTTCAAATCAACACAAGCGAAATTGTAGCAAATTTCTCTCAAATTTTGAGCGTCGCGTCTTCTCCTCCGGAAATCCAAGGCGTATCTTTTCCTATCTTAACTCCAGGCCCAAAAAACCTCCCGCCTCGGCTCTTGTAAACCCTACAGGCATGTTAGTAACCTCTGCCGAACAAATTCCTGAAATTTTAGCGCTAAATTTCTCAAAGGTCTACACAAACGCCGGTGTAGACCACTCCTCGACTAGATCCCTCTCTTTAGTTGCACCAAATTCTACTTTTCCAGCCTTTCTGTTAACCCCGATCGATGTAGAAAATGCTTTCAAATTATTGGAGCCAAAACTGCACTGGACGCCTGAGAACCTGCCAGCCTTCTTCCTAAAAACTGCTCTCAGACACTTTCCAAAATTCTATGCCACTTTTTTCAACCTTTCGCTTCTTTCGGGACAGATCCCCGACCAATGGAAAGTATCGCAAATCTTCCCATTGTTTAAATCAGGGGACGAAACCTCGCCCGGAAACTACCGCCCCGTTGCCCTGACCTCCTCCATTTGCAAACTAATGGAAGTAGCTTTAAAAACGAAAATCGTGGCGCGTCTTGAGCTAAATAATTTCTTTTCGCCAGCCCAATTCGGCTTTAGAAAGTTTCATTCCACGACCACGCAGCTTTTGCAAATGTTTCACAAAATCTCTGAGAAAATCGACGCCGACGAGGACCCTATCACGATTTATTTTGATCTAGCCAAAGCTTTTGACAAAGTTTCCCACGCACTTTTAATCACTAAGCTTTCTCATATAGGTTTTCCGCAGATATTGGTTACTTGGATTGAAGCCTATTTGACAAATCGATCTTTCTATGTGAAAATAGGTGATCAAAAAGTCGAACGCCCACCCACAGCCCTCAGGAGTCCCTCAAGGTAGCGTATTAGGCCCACTACTTTTTCTCATCTATATAAACGATCTTCCTTCCCTTCTAACGAACAGTAGCCTAATTTTTGCTGATGACTTAAAAATTTACGCCGGCGTGCCACGCAACCCCACCCTGGCTGATCCGGCTTTTAGAGCCCTCAGGCAGATATAAATGCGGTCAAAAGCTGGTGTGTTGAAAATGAAATGTCGCTTTCAACCTCCAAAACTTTTATCCTAACGGACATTCCCCAGCCCGTTTCCAAGATCTCTACGTAGACAATACCCGGATACCAAGGACAAATGTGATTAAGGACCTAGGGATCACTTACAATCAGAAATTTAACTTTGAATCGCATATCGCCGCTATCCGATTAAAAGCCGCTCGTATATCCTTCCTTCTTATCAAAAGAATTCAAATTCCAAATGCGATCACGTACCGGCGTGCTTTCAGTACTTTAGTTAGGCCGATTTTGGAGTACGCTTCCGAGATTTGGAACCCAACCAAAAAGCGAAACATCAATGAACTTGAAAGTGTCCAACGTAAATTTACTTTCTTTGCCTATAAGAAATTGTTCCCAAATGAGCCTATGCCCTGTTACCCAGATCGACTAAAATTCTTTTCCCTTCCCACTCCTAGCGCACCGTAGAACAGAAGCGGATTTAGTTACATTTTATAAGTCTTTTTTTGTAGAAACTTTTCCCTTCAAATTTTTGGAATGCACAAATCGTCCGATAAGGAATTCCCATGCTTTTCAAGTGAAGAGAATCCATAGTAAGCAAGGTTTCCCCGTTCTTTCTTCTCGCGTAGAGTTGCGAAAACCTGGAATAAGCTCCTGACCAGGGTCTTCAAAGAGGTCAATTGGGAAATGCAAAGAGCTTTCGTGTAACTTTAGAAAAAATGGACCTGTCCCAATTTCTGTGATCTTTCTTCCCTCCCCGTTTGTTTCCGCATGTTATACAACCTCTGAACCAGTGGCACCACACATTGCCTACTCCCCACTCTTATTCAACTACTGAATAAAGTATATATATATAAAACCCCGACGTTCAAAATGCCGACAGATTTTCGATGTTAGTTTGAATCTCGAGATTTTGCCTTGTCGGGACCTGGCACTGTCGGTTTATTTTAGCTGTCAGGGATTCACGGCATTTTCTGACAAAGAATTATGGTAAGACAGACGTTCCAATTTTCAACAAAACAAGTATGAAAATAACTCCTCCCGGAAAGGGTGAATTTTGTCGGGATCCTGGGATTCGGGGAGGCGACAGAACGAAACATCAGCTATGTAAATTCAGGTAGCAAAAAAGCTCAATCCTATCCTATAAGCGAGAGAAGTATTTGATATCTTTCATTTTATAAAAACGTCTAGGCCTTCCAAATGGCAACAGGACGATTCAGGAATGCTTCTAGAAAGTGCTGAAGTGCAGGCGGGCACAGCCGAGAGGGGACCGGCTGGTGCCAAGATTTCTCGACAAATTGGCCACGATCAGGCGGGCGAATCTTCGGGTTGCACGACAAGGGGGGTTGGGCACACGGACACAGGATCGGATGGGATCACGAAGCCGAGCCCGTGTCGACAAAGAAGAAGCGCTGGGCAGGAAGGGAAGCATTGGATGAGTGTAGGTGGGGGCTGATGGGATATTGCCCCCATCAATTTCACACCTCCACGCCTCCTCCCGACTGCGACTAGTTGTTGTCCACCGGCGCCTATCGCACTGGCAGCAATAATGGGTCTGAAGATGGTTTTGGGGGATGAGGGGGTAAGATAGTATGCATTTAAAGATGGCATTATTATTTTAAGATTTGCTGTGGTAATTTCGATGTTTCAAAATATCGGGTTTAATAGCGTCGAAATTTCGATATGTCGACATTTTTACATAGTATTTGCGCAATTTCTGCAAATTTGTTCATGTAAACTCGACATTATGTCTTGATATTTTCAAATTTTGACACTGTGATTCGCCATTTTTTTCGTTAATACCCTGATGTAAATTTTTTCGTTAGGGAACGAATCTTTGAAACAAAACTAGGTTCTGGTTCATTAGCGGGGGGCGCGTTTTTTTTTAAACGCAAAACGTCAAACTTTATTATTTTTAAGAACAAAATATCGATTTTTCGACCAAAATATGAAATTTTAAAGATTTTTGAAGTTTTTAAGTGGTTTTTCTACTTGAAATGAAACTAAATTTTGTTAAAAACACTGCTCAAACACTTCTTATTACATTTCTGGGCATTTCTGGACTAATATAGGAAAAATTACCCCCCGATAATGCAAAAGAACCTGCGCTTTACCACAACTCGACGGCCCCCTCGAAAAAGTGGCTGGTACGGAAAGTTCTTGGCACCGTTTTCGCGAGACTACATACTGCCTGCCAGTGCATTTCTCTCTCAAATCGGCCTCTTCTCGACGTCACATCCCAGCCACAATGAGCTGATCTTGACCATTTTACGGGAGTTCCCATCTTGTGGCTCTTCACTCCCAGAAAGGTCCGCTGTCCCGGAGCAAGGCCTTTTTGAATTCTTTCTCTAGACATTATTGTCTAGACAATTTAAAAACTAGCGTTCTGATAAACTTGTTAAACACCAAAATTTGAGCATGAACATGTGAGTTGATCATTCCTTCCCCTTTTCTTCCCTTGCTTGCTCGTTCTCGCTCTCAAAATTACCAGCCGGCTGCCCGCACCCAGGGTTGGCAATCGAATCACGGCATTTCCGCTCTTGTCTCTCTCCTTTTTCTGACCACCAATGTCTACTATCTCTGGCATCTCTGGCACTGCGGTTTTGAATTAGGCATTTCGTGAACTTTTCAGTGTTTTTCGCGAAAAAATCTCCTATTTTTGGGTCGATGGCGATTCCCAATCTCTCATTTTGGGTAGAGTGCAGCGATTAACTACGTATGCTTTTTTGAAGTCGATATTTTTATTTCTAGAAAACCAAAAAGCTGACGATTTTTGGAAGTTTCGTAAAAAACTTGGCGATTTCTTTTCTTAGATTTTCTCACGAAGCCCCCCGCTAATAGTCCAGTACCGCCTTTTCCAAAAATTTCGACTTTTTGTGAAGTTTTTCTACCGCAAATATAATTTATTTTCGAAAAACAAGCTAAAAACAGTTTATATACTGCCTTCGACCCCTTCAATAACCCCCCCGCAATATTGCGAAAGAACCAAAGTTTTACTTTCTCCCCTTCTCGCGAAGGTACGATTCCGGGCGCTCTCCCCTGAAGACTGACCAGTCCGCCAGCCATAATGACCAGTCTAGGGGGTTCGCATTTCATAAAGGCCAGCCCGGGACGAGACTGACCCCGATAATTGCACAATTCCTCAAGTCTGCCCTTTTCCCTTTTCCAAGCATTTTCCGGTCCCTCAACTCTATGCAATTCTTCGGCTCCTTACACCCACGGTTCCACCGCTTCGAGGGTTTTCAGCGCCAAAATATGCATTTTTCTTGGTTACAGCAAGCCGTTTTAAGGATTATATTGATTTAGTCGAAAAACAGAATGTCGAAATCCAAAATTTTTCGAATTTCGTTTCGTTAATTTTCAGTTTTTCAAATTCCTTGTCGAATTTCAAAAATTTCGAATTTTGTCCTTTCGGATTTCAAAAAAAAAAGCACTTTATCGGTGATTTCCTGTAGCTAAAAATTATCAGCCATCTATAGAAATTTTAAAATTTAAATTTTTGACTAATTTTTGGCCCCTTTTCATGCATTTTGAATCAAAAAATGTGTCTTTCGTTTCGCTGATCCGGTTTTTATGCCGAAGAAGGCCGCGAAATGAATCAAAACGTTGGCTACCCCGCCCCAACCCCCCACCGATAAGAGAAAAGCTGCAGCTTGATTTTCTGCTTCATTTTTGACCCGATTCCAGCCTTAAAACTCGAAAAATTGTTGTGTATTCGTAGAAATGTACGTTCAGGATGATCTCGACGCCGGGCCTCGGCCTGTTCCTGTTGTTGTCCGCCCTCTGCCTACACAGAACACCTGTCGACGGGCTGAACATATTAATGTATGTTCCGACACTATCCTATTCACACGTCGCATTCAATGGGAAGATTGCCGAGGCACTTATCGAACGGGGCCATCAAGTGGTACGCTGGAAAATTAAGGGAACGAAGCCAAGAGCTAAAAAAGCCTAAAAAATCAGCAAGCGCCTCAAATCCGGTTCTTTTGCATTATCGGGGGGTCTATTCTAAAACAACAGGAGTACCTAACTATATATACCCAAGATTTTAATAAGGTTTTTAGTAAAATACCGAGTTCCATACTCCCGACAGCCAAATTGCCGACAAGCGCAATCCCGACAAGCCAAATAACCGACAAGCGAAACAGGACAGCCAAAATCCCGAAATATTCTTGGCGCTATTTTCAATTTAAGCTAATCCTCTTAAAAAATGTTTTGTGTGTCGGCATTTTGTTCCGTCGGGATTTTGCTGTCTCGGGATTAAAGCTGTCGGAATTTTCGATTTTGCTATTGTCGAATTTTGCAATTTCCGCTGTCGGGATTATGGTTGTCGGGATTTTGGCTTGTCGGCATTATGACGGTGTCGAGATTGTAACTGTCGGTATTTTGCTGTTGGAATCTCAGTTGTCGGGATTTTTCGCTTGAAATAGTACCGGTGGCAAACCTATCAAAAAGCCAGAATTTTTTATAAAATTGTCGAATTTCGGCCGAAAAATCGGTATTTTGATTTCATAACAATAATTTGTAACGTTTTTACGCTAGCTCCAAGCCTTCTACGTTTTTATTAGAAAATTGGATGCAAGTTCTAACGTTGCCCCTCCCCCGATAATGCAAAGGCTCCTAAAATCTGGATTTCCATATTTAGGTGATGCTCCACATCGCACTAGATGACGGCGTCAGCGTCTACAAGGAGTCGACTGCCACGGTATTTTCTGGAAATTCTAGGTTATCCTTTCTTTCAGAAACTACGACACGATACGGGAGTCCCGCCGGGTGCCTTGTTAAATACGCTATGGCGTAACCCGGGGCCGTTTGAGAATTCGAACCCGTTGAATCCGTTGATATTACGCAAATTCTTGCGGTTATCCCGGCTTTTCCTCGACTCTTGCATCGGTAAATTTTGGCTTGGTTCTTTTACATTATCGGGGGGGTCTTTAGTAGCCCAGAGATCCCTCGAAATTTAATACTAAGTATTTTTAACTAGTTTTTAGTAAATTTAACTATATTTCAGGTGGAAAACTATCAAAAAAAAACTTGGAAAAATGGGAATTTTTGTTTAAAAATAGCTATTTTTGTATTGTTTCATTATTTGTACCTATTGATGCCTAGTATCGTAAAAGTAAGTATTTTAATAGTGTTTTTAGTAAATTAAATCATATTTCGACTGGAAAAATGTGCCTTAAAAGCTTTAAAAATTTGGTAAAAATGTAATTTTTTTGTCGAAAAATCGATATTTTTTGTATTTTTTTGCTAAAGATTTGTGAAGTTTTTAGGCTTAAAAATTTTAAGAGACACCAGGGTTGAAAAACCGCTTCGCGGCTTTTCAACCCTGGCCCCGTCCAGGACCTGTGAAAGTGGTAGATGGACACCATCCCGAAAAGACACCATCCCGAAAGACACCATCCCGAAAAATTTGCATGCGAAAAGTCAGCTCTACTATAGAAAAAGGAGCTATTTTTCTATGCTAATGAAGTTTTCGCATGCAAATTTTTCGGGATGGTGTCTTTCGGGATGGTGTCTTTTCCGGATGGTGTCCATAATTCGAGAAAGTCCTTAATTTGCATGTTTCTTACTGAATTCTAGCAAGAAAAAAGTGAAAAACCTCTCCTCTCTCCCCTTATATAGGCTCTTCCTACTTCCGGCTTATGCTAATTTCCCCTAACAAACGGAGTTTTACAAAAACCTATTTTTAATAGCGAAAACCACAATTTTTCAAAATTTTTATGTGTGTGCAGTCGATTCCGGACCATTCTAAACCTATTATCGTTTCTTCCCTATCCAAAAAACCCTTCCCCGAGGCTGTAGGAGCGGAACATCCTAACGGAAGTGCATGCAAATATACACACACACACAAACACTATAATATTAATAGTAGGATAGGATTGGATATTCTTCCTCTATATCTATTAGAAAAATTGGATCTTAAAAAAAGCCCCCCCCCCCATAATGCAAAAGCTCCTCAATTTCCAAGTGATAACGATTTCAGGGGTTTCAAAAGACGACAGTATCCTCGAATCCCTTGCCAACTACACATTCGATGTGGTCACCGTTGAGCAGTACGATTTCTGCGCGTTCGGCTTGTTCAAGAAGCTGAACGTCCCCTCAATAGTCGGTTTTTCGAAAAATTCTAGAATTCCTGAGATTTTCTAGGTGTGGTTGTCAGCCACCGGGCTGCACGCCGTCCAACCGAATACACTTGGCATTCCGCAGCCGAACAGCTACGTTCCAGGTTGGGAAACGGAGTGGAATGGAATTATTTACGTTTGTAGATCTGTTCGGACCGTTCACCGACGATATGACGCTTTTGGAGCGGGCGCAAAATACGCTTCTGACGCGCACGACACATTTCTTATTTCAGGTATGAGAGAGTTGAGGGTTGAAGGGGCCTTGAAGTCAAAATACCGAAAAAGGGGCACCAATTTTCTCGATCTCGTTGACTTCCTCTGGCCAATTTTTTGATTCTGAAAACGAATGCAAAAATACCGACGTGAAAAATCGGCAACCAAAATTCCGTCAGCCAAAATAACGACAGGCCATCCAGACAGCCATAATGCCGACAAGGCCAACATCCGGACAGCCAAAATGCCGATACGCCAAAATGTCCATAATCCAAAATGCCGACAGCCAAAATGCCGACAGCCAAAATACCGACTTGCCAAAATCGCCACGGGCTAAAGCCTCGACAGCCAAAATAGCTGTTTCATAGGAAGTGGCATTCAAAATAGCGTCAAGAATATGTCGGGATTTTTGCGTGTCGGGATTTTGGCTGGAATTATTTGCGAACGTCGCGGGTGGGCAAACAGACTTCTCTGGTCCTTTAAACGTAATTTCTTACATTCAGGTCCTCTCGTTGCGCAGCATTAACAGCATCTGGAGATCAAAGGGGGTCTTCCAGGCCGATCGTCATGTTGATGAGGTGATTTTTGGATTTGTTAAGATTATTTAAACGATACTTTTTAGATCCCGCAAAGCGCCTCTGCTGTTATTGTAAATACTGTTCCATCTTTTGACTTTTCCGGGCCGACATTGGCACATTTTCATTACATCGGAGGGCATACCGTCGAGGCTACGCCGCCCTCATTAAATGAGGTTGGTTAGAGTGATTTAATACTTTTAAAAATGGTTTAACTGTCTGGAAAAATTAAAAACAGAATGACCATATCGTAAGGTATCAATGTTAATATAAACTACAGTATGATGTCCTTAGGAATGGTCCCTCATTGCCGAAAAGCGCCCATTCGTCCTCCTAACCTTCGGCTCAATAGCCAAAACCTCGGAAATGCCACCCCACCTGCAGCAGGCATTCTTTGAGGTTGGCTACAGAATTTAGTTTTTATGATTTTTCTCAGGGCTTCAAAGCGTTCCCGGAAATCAACTTTATCGTCAAGTACGAGAAGATGAACGAGACGATCCGCATCAGGGAGGCCGATAATGTGATCCTGACAGAAATGGATTCCGCAGATATCATTGATTGGTTTGTAAATTGGATAGATAGAATTTTCTCTATAGCACTCTCTCTCTATCGCTCTCTCTCTCCATGGCTATGTTTCTCTCTCGCTCTCTCTGTCTCTCGCCCTCATTCTCTCTCGCTCTTTCTATCTCTCTCTCGCTCCATGTCTATGTTTCTCTCTCGCTCTTTCTATCTCTCTCTCGCTCCATGTCTATGTTGCTCTCTCGCTCTCTCGCTCCCTCTGTCTCTCACTCTCTCGCTCTCTCACTCTCTCTCTCCATAACTATGTTTCACTCTCGCTCTCTCTGTCTCTCTCAATCCTCTCGCGCTCTCTCTCTCCTCTCTCTCTCTCTCTCTCTCTCTTCATTCTTCACGAAATTTCAATTCGGTCACACGGAAGCGTTTCATTCTACCTTGCCAATTTCAGCCCACCCCAACTACAAAGCCATCATCACGCATGGCGGGTGGAGCAGCATCCTCGAGTCGTTGGTCCACGGCAAACCCATGCTATTGATGCCACTTTTCGCGGGTAAAACTCTCACTTTTTGAAAAATACATTGTAGAACCAGTTTTTTATTGTAAAACTAGCGCCCGCCTTGGGCGCTGGAATCAGGCCTTTGCATGAGAAATTTGACTTTCCGATAGCTTGGGTCCTTCGGACCCTCCGCTCCCCCGGCCAAATTCGCGAGTGCAACTTGCAAGAATGAGGAAATTTGTATTTTTTGGAATTATGCAAAGTAGCCCTCCCTAGCGCCGGACACGCACACACAAAGATACGCGACCAAATTATACAGGGTGTCCCAAAAAAAACCCCCCCTCGGCATTTGGCCGTCTTCTATCCCATCGGGACCAAATTTTTACCAGCCCTGGGGACCCATAAAAACTATGTGCAGCCGAATTTTCTAAGCAAAATACTATAAAACAAAAAAGCTATCGCTAAAAAAAATGATTTTTTGGGAAACGCTAGTACCGATTTTTTCGCTATGTTTCGCAATTAGCATGCCGATTTTGGGTAATTTTCTCAAAAATCGTCATTTTCGGGTCCGTTTCTGTTCGTTTTGATAATAAAAATTGATGAAAAGTCCCGATTTTGACGTAATTTTCGTAAATCAAAAAGAGTCCTCCGGGTGGAAAAAGTGCCCTCTTCATTTTGGCTAAACATTTCGAGGTCCTAATCCATCAAAATCCTAGTGAAATCGGCAATATAAACCTTAATTTCAATATAACTTTTTGTCTTACAATATTTTGCGTCGAAAATTCGGCTGCACTTAGTTTTTATGGGTCCCCATCACTGGTAAAAATTTGGCCCCGATCCGATAGAAGACGGCCAAATGCCGAGGGGGGGTTTTTTTTTGGGACACCCTGTATAAGGTAGGATTTTTTGAAAACCACGAAAACAACCCTTAACGCCTCTCTAGACCACGCGAAAAACTCGAAAGTTGTCGAGGCGAAGCGCGTGGGGCTGCTCGTCGACAAAATGAATATGGATCGGGAGGAGTTTGTGGAGAAACTCGGCACTATTCTCAACGATGAAAGGTTCGTGGTGAAAGCCTGAAAAATTGTTCGGATTTTTGTAGCTACGCGGTGAGGTGTCGACAATTCGCTCGTCACATCGCTCACCACTCGCCGATGGATGATGTGACGACGATCAACTATCTTGTTGAACGGGCCCATCGTGAGGCACAGAGGAAGAATGTAAGTGTAAAACACGGATTCAGAATTTTAAAGGGGTTAAGAAGCGTGGTTCACCTCCTCTTAGATTGCTTCCTGGCAAACAGACAGATACATCGCTCGGCACTCATTTTTCGGTGATAACGCGTGAATTTCGAGAACTGGAGGATTTTGAGAATTTCTGGAATCTTCAAAACGATTTTGATCATCCTACCTGTTTGAATGGGGGAAAAACGCCAAAATCCCGACAATCAATACGCCGACAGCCGACAGTCAAATCAGTCAAAATCTCGACAGTCAAAATCTCGATAGTCAAAAATCCCGACAAAAAAATATGCCGACAGCCAAAGGCCCAACATCGAATAATTGCTGTTTAAAAGGTTTATGTCGGGATCTCGGCTGTCGATATCTGGGTGTCGGGATTATCCTGTCGGGATAATGCCCGTCCGGATTTTGGCTGTCGGCCTTTTTCGTGTCGCGATTTTGGTTGTCGAGATTTTAGCTGACAGGTTTTTGTTTTGTCAGCATTCGGCTGTCGGCATTTTGACTGTCGGGTACGGCCATCGGGATTTTTCCTGTCGTTATCTGCTTGGATTCTCAATTCCCGCATCAGCTCTTTTGACTTGCTAGCCCCTTTAACTGCTAAGAGACTGTAAGGCTTTTGAGCATAGAATTGAAACGTGACGGATTCATCAAACCTCTTTTTAGGCTCGGCACTGTCCAATCAACCCCGCCATCGCCCTACCGGCTAATGGCACATCCTCAACAGACTGCCAATGCACCCCTCCGCCCCCATCCCATCTGAGGGCGGCGTCTCGCGAGATCCCCGTGGGCGATCATCTCCACCTCGGATTTGCTCTATCTCCCGCATTTCATCTCAGCTCTCACGGGTCTTTTTGTGCTTTCCAGATAGTTAAGTATTTTGGAAATAAATTGATAAAATTTGGAATTTAACAAACGAAAGATTTATACAAAAACACCTTTTTCCTGTTTCGGAATGTCAATTTTAACAAGTGAGGTAACTCTCAGGTTGGTGAGTCAGAGAAAGTTCCCCGGAATGGGCATGGAATGTCGGGAACAATCCAAGGAAATAGCGAGATCGAGAGAGAAAGAGAGAGAGAGAGAGAGAGAGAGAGAGAGAGAAAGAGAAAGATCATCGCCCACCGTCCATTGTCAGAAAGGGAGAGATCACCCCGGAAAAGCGGGAAGAAAAG